GGTTTTTTCTCTATAAAGGTTAGTTCTTGACGCTTGAAAGTAGGTGAAAATGACAACAACTCCACAAAATACACAAAGATACACTCCTCACTCACCAAAGCAACAAGCACACTCTTTCAATATGCTCACTTTCTTCACTAACTTCATAAACTCAAGGTGTTTACATGGGTGTAATGATCAATGATGAAGAAAGAATGAGTCTTGGTGCATTTTCTTGAAGAAAAGCTTTGTCTTTCATGAAGAACAATGGGTGGCAGAAATGAGAGGATGAGAGGCTGTATCTACATGGGTGTTATAAATTATGACCTAGGTTTTAGTGCCATTACCTATTTATAGGTACACTCACTTAAACTAACAATATTAATTTAAATTATTCCGCTCATCGTTTAACTCTAAAATTTCATGTTCTTAACCTAATTTTTTTTCTAGGAATTATCATATTTTTCTTGTAATTTTCCGAGACACTTCACCAATACGCATTTTATACAGCGAAATAGCCGGTATTAGTTCTGATATCACTGCTTATTATTTTTACCCCAAACTTGATATTCTTAACCTATATATTTTTATAGGAATATTCACATTCTTATTTCTATTTTTCGGATTACTTTGTCGGTATCCATTTATACCGCGAAATACCGGGTGTTTACACTTTCTTTCTGAAAAATGGCTTAATATTAATTATTATGCTCTTTTCATATTTATCTAAATTCAATTATGAAATTATTTTCTAAACTCATAATTAAATTATTTAAATTCCTAATTTAGCGGTGCAGGTTCACGTCTCCATGTCCACTGGTACACCTACTCGTGAGGCACACAACGAGGTTCAAGTTGGTGATGATGCGGAAGATGATGTTTGTGATGCCAGTTACATGAACATAGTTGATAGACATTTTAAGATCTTTTTATACAATTTGTGAACAATACTTTTTAGTTGATTTTGTATTTTGATACATTTGTTATTTTTTCTTTTACAATACTTTTGATCATTAAAACTTCTTACTTTTTTGGTTATGACAATGATGGTTTGTATGATTATATTTATTATAAGTTTCAGACCAGCTCTCATTGGTTATATGACTTTGAAGATTTATAATATGATGATTATTAGATACAAATTGTGTTACAAAAAATTTGACATATTTTATTGAATATATTAAGAAATTTTGAAAGTAAGGAAGAAATTAGGGATGAATTTTTTTTGTCCCTAATAGGAATAGACAAATTTCGTCCCTAATAGGGATCGAAAAAATCCTTCCCAAATCAAAATTGATGACAATATTAAGGACAAAAAATATATATTAGAGACAGATTTTATTTCGTCCCAAAATATTAGCGAGGAGCAATTTAGGGACGAAAATTTTTTCGTTTCAAATTCTGTCCCTAAATAATATAAGGACGGATTTATGTATTGTAGGGACGGAAAAATTTCGTCCCTAATATCTATTTTTTTTAGTAGTGAGAAATTGATACGAATTATTACCCTATCATCTCCCGGATTGACCTGGAATAAGTAATCAACCGGTCAATATACTAGGTTAATGGAACGTGATTCGATCAGTTAAACTAAAAGTATATTTTAATATGAAATAAATAAAATAATTGTTGCAAAATGAATAACAAAATAGCGTTGGAACAATGGTAAATGGAGTGCTGGTGGAGTCCTCTTTCCCTGGTTTGAATTCTAACGGCACCTTTCTTCCAAATATATTTTATTAAAAAATTTAAAATCTATTCTGCCGATTAAATCAGTCTTGTTCGATTTTGATAACACTGATTGTGGGTCATGGTTCAACCCGCATGTTTATTAAGGTTTTCTTATTACTTTTAATTTCTTTTTAAATTAATTTTCCAATTCTTTTAATTAAATAGTATCTATTTTTAATTTTTCAATATATGTTATGCCTGAGTTGGATAGTTTCACCGAAAGATCAGAGTTACACACAATAATATAACATAAACCCAATCTACGGACGCATTTTCACCCCTATTCTTAACCAATAAAAGATGAGTAACAATAATTGACAATAAATATCATAGATCACTTAATGATTATTGTTAATCAGTAAAAAATGAACAATAACCATTTGTGTAATGAAAACCCTGTAACCTATTGACTAATTAATAATAGTATTTTTTTTTAAATATTTTCAAACTATATTATTGTGCAAATTATACAAATTCATGTGATGCCAATAAAATACATAATTAACATTAGCAAATCATGGATGTGTTCGCCCCCTTGTGGGCAGGGGTGAAACAGGACTGGGCTGGCCTACAGGGGCCCACGGCTCGGCCTATATCAGGCCATATTTGACCTAGTATAATTTGTATATTAGGCTGAGCTTGGGCCATAGAAAAGCCTGTTTAATAAAAAGGTCGTAGGTCCACTTTCAAAAGGTCGAGCCTATAAGTCTACAGGCCGGCCTATATTGTATTATTTATTTTAAATAAAATAAAATAGAATAAGTATGCCTTAAAAAAAAACAAAAGATATAAATTTAGTTAATTGCAATTATTTATAACTTAATTATATTCGATTATATTTTAATAGAAATCTTACTTTATTTCTTATATAGGAGGAATCAACATCTCAACATGTTTGATTGTGTATATGAATATATTAAAAGATTTTTAGAAAATGTTATACTTACTACAAGCATCGTGATGTGTTTATTGAATTCATGTAGTTATTTTAATTTACATAGTATGGATTTGTTTGTTGGATCTAATGAAATATATATTATTTAATTTGAGCATTTTGTTTTTGAAAATGAATTAAATGCATATTGTATGAGTTTTGTTATGATTCATGATTCTGTTTGGACGTTGAAATTATGATTTTTGGTGTAGCAACAGAATTATAGTACTTTGTAAAGTTGATTCATGTTCTGCATGGAAGTTAAAAATTAACAGGCTAACGGGCCAAGCCAGACCATTTATTTTTTATAAACGGGCCAGACCAAATTGAAATTTTTTGACGTAAGCTTGGGCTTTTCGAGACAAAGCTTGGCCCAGCCCAGCCTACTTTCACCCCTACTTGTGGTACATAATCTAAAGAGTCTTGACACATTATATTAAAAAAAGTTACATTTTTTTTAAGAATAAAGTTACATTGTTATTAATAGTTTCCTTCGACTAATTCATCGATTAATAACAACTATTATTGCCCTTAAAATTGTCCAAAAATATTTTAATTTATATTGAGTAAATAGTCAATCTTAATCCTAAGAAGTTCTTCAAAATAAATATCATATTTAAATAAAAATCATATATTTTTTAATCTGAATTTCACCTTTGATGTTTTTTTTTTAAATAAGAATTTCACCTTTGATGTTTTTATCGTGTCATGAAATGTTTTATTCTTGACAAAACTAAAGAATTTTATCTTATTGCTTATAATTTTCAAATTAGGTTTTATCTCATACAGTAAATTTTTAAATATTAAAATAAAAAATTCTTATTCAATTTTAAGGAATTATTTGACATATCTTCGTAGTAAAATATATAAATTAGACGTTCAACAAGTTGGTCACACCATAGTCTATCCATCAAATGATAAGTTACAAACAATCCAGTTTAAATCTAGATAAAAATAATTTTAAAACAATTTATATTAAAAAATTATAAATTATATTAATTTATTTTTATACAAATAAAATAAAATGAAATTACTTTTAAAGATAACATTACCTACAAGTTACAAATATTGACGTATAATGATATACTATGATAGGTTTTGTGGACTTTTGTCTCTCAGTTCTTTTGGTCCTTACGTCATATCTACATAGTTTACTCGGAAGAAAGAAAGTGTAGCAATTAATAATTTTCAATGCAAAAGGAGTTTAAACTTAAGGCTTGCAAAATATTAAAAGGGATATTTATGTCGCCGAAAGATCAAAATTCATAAGGGAAAATAAGTAAGACTTAAACATAAATTAAGCAATGTTATATTCATGGGATATATTATTTGGGCTCATTTTTTTTTACATCAATGTACATAAATTATCTATAATAAGTTCACAATAATATCATTTTGAGACGAAAATCAAAATAATTTTATAAATATAATTTATTTTAGACTTATAATAGTTTTTTAATTTTTCAACTCAAAACGACGTCGTTTTGAGATGAATGTAGATAAACTTATTTATATTTATTATACAAATATTAAAGTCATATTATTTTACTTATTTTTTTCTTGCATATCTTTCTTATCAATCTCTAATATCGTTGATCTGAATTTAAAAAAAAAAAAGCGAGAAATGATAAGAATAAGAAAAAATAAATAAATAAATTAATCTGTGTCTATATTTATTGTGCCTAGTTTAATTTCAGCGTGCACTGTTGACTAAAGTGCACCACAAAACGACGCCAAGCAACGAAAAGTGGTGTCGTCTACGGCTTTGCTACAGCGATGCAGATATTTACTTATTTAGCACTAATCTTCCCCGTTTTGCATGTGATGTACATTCATAATTCCTGCGGAGAACGAGGGCAAAATGGTCAATGTGAGTAAAAATCGAAGGACAGTAGTGGGATGTAAAAGATAAACAGGACCAGTTACGTGCAATAGAAGCCGGCTACGTGTCACGTTTGCAGACACAACCTCGAACCCATCGATCAATTAGATCAGACATATAACGGAAATGATCGAGTGTGAGAGGGTGCAGGAAGAGGGTATCATAGAGATTAGATTAGAGATAGAGAAGAAACGATAGATATTTGAAGGGTTAGCGTCTATTGCCTACCACATTTTTATTCGTTCCTCTTCGTCGGTCTCCGTTATATTCATAAATACAAACACCTTCTTTTATTTTTTCAGCTCCTTTAGGTCTCTCTCTCTCTCTCTCTTAATTTTTTTTTTCAAGTATTCATTTTATTCTGTTGCGGTTTTTTTCCCTTTAGTTTTGGTTATTTTAGGTTGAATTGTTATCGTGTGGTGTGCTTCTGGTGAGTTCTTTTATAATTTGCATACATCTACTGGTTTGTTAGCTCAAAAAGCTGCTTCAATTAGGTTTTGGAGTTATTTGGGTTTTTTAGCCTCCGATTACTGTTTTGCTGCGCCAGGTGTTTGCTCAAACAATTTTTTTTTAATGTGTGTTTTGTTGTTGTTGTTGTTGTTCTTCTTATAAGGTTACTGATTCATTAATTGTTATTCCCCAATTTTAGATATATAACTAACTAGTCGCTTTCTCTTATTAGTTATTGTGTCTCCCCCAATCTTATCTCGTGCTATATAGTTAGGTGATGCGTTTTTTTTTTTTTTTTTGAAGGTTTGTTATTGGTTTTCATTCTGGTCCTTTGCTGCTGGTGTTGGTTTGATTTGTTAGTAAAGTGGATATCCCATTTCTTGTTGGTTTGGTTTTTACTTATTTAAAAGATCAAATAGAAGATTGACAAGTTAGGAAGCACTATGAAGAATATATATTTTTTTTTTAATATGACATTGCACTCTAACTTCCTCCCAGTCTCCCACCACCAAATCACTCAATATTTTTTGTCTTATGTTATGATGAACTTAGAAGAATGTCTTAAGGGGCCTTTTGAAGTAACTCCTTATTAGGCATAGTACAACATTCACTCGAACTTCATCCCTATGACTAAAGATTCATTTTGAAATAAATGTGATTCTTGGTACCTATTTGGTAAACTATTTAGGCAAGATATTCTCCTGTTAACATTGTGATTTTTGGATTTTATGATCTTCATCTCTAGCATGTATGTCTTTGTTATTCAGCAACAATGGAAGTGTTGCTCTGCCTGACAACTTGCTTTTGTCAGAGTAATTTATTTGGCTGGCAAGTTTTTAAATTTCTTTACTTGAAACTTAGTTTATTGGATCGTTTTTAATGAAATATATTATTTTATAATGTGAGGAGTGAGTTGAACGTATGGGTTTATTGAATACCTGTACAAGTATTTATTTTCTCTTACTTTCCTAGTTATTACTTGAAGTGTCATTCATAATTTTGGCTACTGGATGCTTGACACGAAAAAGTTTTTTTTTTTGGGTCCTAAATGTTGATATTCTGAATGCCTAAAACATGGTCTCATGCTTATATATGTTTCATCAAAAAATGCAGCTAGCTATTCAGGAATCATGGCTAGGGTTTTGGCTCAGTCAATTAATGTCCCTGGCCTAGTGGCTGGGCAGAGGAACAATCAACATAAAGGATCAGGAAAATTAAAAAGATCAGTCAAAATGATGTGTGCTTTACGAACAAATGGATTAAGAATGTCAGGTTTCTCAGGACTTCGTATCCTTAATCCTTTGGATACTATGTTGAGACCTGGACTAGATTTTCATTCTAAGGTGGCAATTGCTACTTCTTCACGGCGAGCAAGGGCTACAAGATGCATACCCAAAGCCATGTTTGAGCGTTTCACAGAGAAAGCAATCAAAGTAATTATGCTAGCCCAGGAGGAAGCAAGACGTCTTGGTCACAATTTTGTTGGAACAGAGCAGATTCTATTGGGTCTTATTGGTGAAGGCACTGGTATTGCTGCTAAGGTTCTAAAGTCTATGGGAATCAACCTTAAAGATGCACGTGTGGAAGTAGAGAAGATAATTGGAAGGGGTAGTGGATTTGTCGCCGTTGAGATTCCATTTACTCCCCGTGCAAAGCGTGTTTTGGAACTTTCACTGGAGGAAGCTCGCCAACTTGGTAAATATTTTTTCACTTTCCTCCATTTTTTTAAATCACTTAATTTCTAAGTTGCCAATAGCATTATCTTTAACAGAGGATTTTCTTCCATTTTACCCGTCTGTCTATTCTTAGTAGTCCTCCCATGATATTTCTGGTGTAATTGTTACTTGAAATAAGGTAGAAGTGATTTGGTTATATTGGCTCTGGCACATTTATCTATTTTACTCAAGGAGTCATAAGTTTTGATTACTTTTAGAGGAGGGAGAACATGGTGAAACGAAAGAGGATTGAACATGCTACCCTATTATATCATGTTTTAGAAGAAATCATGAACCATAATGATGCAACATTACACTCTTATCCCATCTTAAACTTTTTCTTAATATTTCTTGCCTGTCCATCTAGCAAATTGCTCCTAATCCTTTCATGCATGATATGTTTGCCACCACCAGATGGTACTCTCTTACTTTAAATACATTCAAAATTGAGTTGGGGGTTATTTGTGAATATTTTTTAATAGATGGCCTGCGTTTTTGTAATATTATTTCTCAGCTTGCTGGAACTGAGCCTTACACCTTGAAATTTTCAGGTCACAATTATATTGGTTCTGAGCACTTGCTCCTGGGTCTTCTCCGAGAGGGTGAGGGTGTAGCAGCACGAGTTCTTGAAAACCTGGGTGCTGATCCTACTAATATTCGCACTCAGGCTAGTATTATGCCCTCATTTATCTTTCCTTTGACATATTTCTATTTACATGAATACATTTTTTTAATTCATAATTTTTGTATTAATCTTATAATTCCACTGGATGGGCACAGGTTATTCGCATGGTGGGTGAGAGTGCTGACAGTGTTACTGCTACTGTCGGCTCAGGTAGTAGTGGCAATAAGATGCCTACTTTGGAGGAGTATGGCACCAATTTGACCAAGCTAGCAGAGGAGGTAATGCCAGTTGCTAGTTTTTTATTCATCAAAGATGGTAGACAATTCTTTGTTATGTATAAAAGCTTAATTATTTTCCATTTGCCTCCCAGGGAAAATTGGATCCTGTTGTGGGAAGGCAGCCACAAATTGAACGTGTCACGCAAATTTTAGGCCGTCGCACCAAAAATAATCCTTGTCTTATTGGAGAACCTGGTGTTGGGAAGACAGCAATTGCTGAAGGTCTTGCTCAGCGGATTGCAAATGGTGATGTTCCTGAAACCATAGAGGGAAAAAAGGTTAGTAGAAATCATTTTACCTCTACAGTTCTTAACATTGGTGTTCAATTTAGGGGATTTGTGATTCTCTTTTTTCGGTTCAAATAAAGCATTCAACTTGCTGGAATTGTGTAAAATACTTGTAAAACAATATCTGTTGTTTTATTTCTCTCTGGAATTTTAAATGTTGATAAAAAGGAGTTTTGTTGCACCAAGATGGTTAAGCCATTAACCAGGGCGTGTTGTCTCATTTTCAGTCATGATTGTCTGATATTAATTTCATGCTAGCATTTCGGTTTAGAATAAGTATGGTTTAAAATTATCGGATATGTGGATGTTTGGTATGATTTTTTTTTCTTTTGTTAAACAAAGAGGAGCCATGCTCCTAAGACACTACCACAGATCTAGTGTGTTTAGCTATGAAGCACCGAATCCAACACGGCATTTTCGATACGTTCTCGATATGACCGTTAATTCGTCGATACGATACAATACGTTTCCAATACGCGTATCGGATACGTTGGAAAAAAAAATTCGGAGTATCGGTGCTTCATAGGTGTTTAGTATGATTTTGATGAGTCCTGAATAATGTGAATGTCTTCTTTGCGCAATTATATTTGGCATACAACAGTCTATTTTGGACATTTTATCTATAGACTAATAAATCAATGGCAAGCAATTAGATAATCACATGTCTTCAAATCATTTTTAATTATATTTTCAAATTTACGGCTAGAAAACATCCATGATCAAGATCAACGCTGTTTGAAGGGGGTCATATATGTGATATGAGCAGTTACCTTTGATAACTTTTCCATTATATTCCGTCATGAATCAAGTATCCTAAAAGTTTAAGCTATTTGTTAAAGGCACATAAATAATTTTATATCCCATGCAAAAGTGTTTTGGGTTTGCATGGACAAAGCATGGACCCATTTTTACTATGTACTGAAATTTAATTTTTATTTTCAAGATGGCAATGATGAGGCTTTGATACCATGTCATGAATCAACTCTTGGAAAAGTTTAGACTGTTAGGTAAAGGCATATCAGCATATGAATGATTTTATATGTAACATTCTAATAATGTACTTTGTTCTGCATGAATCAGGTTATAACCCTCGATATGGGTCTGCTTGTAGCTGGAACTAAATATCGTGGTGAGTTTGAAGAGAGGTTGAAGAAACTGATGGAAGAAATCAAACAAAGTGATGAAATAATACTTTTTATCGATGAAGTGCACACTCTAATTGGAGCGGGAGCAGCTGAAGGGGCAATTGATGCTGCTAACATTCTAAAACCAGCCCTTGCAAGAGGTGAACTACAGGTAATATTTTTTTCCTGATATGCTCAAAATCTATTTACTGCTTGTCGATTTGACCTTGATGTTGATGTTTTATGGTCAAGAAGGAAACAGAATGGGTTTTCTTTGTTGGATTTTTTGGCATCACTCTTGAACTGTTTCATAAAAAAGGGACAAAAGACATTCTCTGGTCCTAAAATTGCCCTAGCAACTCCACACTCTGCAAAAAGAATATATGATCTTTCTTCTGGTCATTCAATGTTTGTAAACAGTTAAAATCTTGTGAGGTATTCAATAGGCCTACTATGGTTGAGCGAGCTAGCTAGTTTCGATTCTGATTTATAGTTACAAGTTGTTGCTGGCTTTTAATCAGAATTAAATAAGTCGCTTAAGTTTCAAAATTAGTATATGAATTTTTAACCCAAAGATTCCCATTGTTGGCATTTCCAAGAGTCTCAATCTTGGTTGATAATAGAAATATGGAATGCAGAATGGTAAATTCCTATAATACTAAACTCATCATAACAAGCATCTTTTATTAGATGCGGTTAAATTCAGTCACTGCTGCTTATATTGGAATTGTACTAAAATGGTGTTTGCTTATAACATTTCTGCAGTGTATTGGAGCCACAACATTGGACGAATACAGGAAGCACATTGAAAAAGATCCAGCTTTGGAGAGACGATTCCAGCCCGTCAGAGTGCCTGAGCCAACTGTAGATGAAACCATACAAATACTGAAAGGACTTAGAGAACGCTATGAGATTCACCACAAGCTCCGTTATACTGATGAGGCTCTTGTAGCTGCTGCGCAGCTGTCTTACCAGTATATCAGGTTGGCTATAATTCATCTCTCTGCTCATTTTGCCTTGTCATCATTTATGGTTTTATGGTGGAATGGGCATTTTTTTTTTCAATATTGCATGTTTAAATTGGAAGTTTTCCACTGATTTAAGTTGATGTATATGTTAGACTTCTAGAATTTAGCATTAGTAGTCTTCTTTGAATCATTTTACTTTATTTATGGTGGAATTATAATGTAGCTTTTTGATTGATATCCATGTTTAAATGTTCATTTCTCTCTCTCCCTCTCTCTCTCTCTCTCTCTTCTTTTCTCACTGTGTATCTTAACCAAGTATTTCCTGGCTTATAAAAATGCTGTCCCCTGCAGTGATCGATTTTTGCCCGACAAAGCTATAGATTTGATTGATGAAGCTGGTTCACGAGTCCGGCTTCAACATGCACAGGTATATCGTTTGTCTACCTTTCAACTAGCATTTCTAGCTTATGTTATTGAGCTAATTGGGCTAGATTTATGTACGTCCAGTTACCTGAAGAGGCGAGAGAACTTGACAAAGAAGTTAGGCAGATTGTTAAGGAGAAAGAAGAAGCTGTTCGCAACCAAGACTTTGAAAAGGTAATGTTTGTTTACTAAAGATTGAACTTGTAAAGTCTTAGCCAAACGTTTTCTGGAGAACTATCGACTACCTTGACCCAATGGGATAATGTTTTTTTGTCTAAGAAAAGTAATGCTTTTGCTTAAGCAAAACATAAAGAAGAAGCTGTTCGCAACCAAGACTTTGAAAAGGTAATGTTTGTTTACTAAAGATTGAACTTGTAAAGTCTTAGCCAAACGTTTTCTGGAGAACTATCGACTACCTTGACCCAATGGGATAATGTTTTTTTGTCTAAGAAAAGTAATGCTTTTGCTTAAGCAAAACATAAAGAGAATGATTGGATTTTTATTTTTTATAGTTCTAAATTGATTAATGTTTCTAGTTTGTTGAGTTTAAAGACGGTGTAGTGGTATATACCTCCAAAATAAGGGAACAGTGTAATGGTTTGTTCCTTACTCAAATATACAATTTTTTGGCCAATAATTTGTGGGTTGATGATCAATGAATTTCTGAATAGGCTGGAGAGCTACGAGATAGAGAAATGGATCTCAAGGCGCAGATCTCAACACTTGTAGAGAAAGGCAAGGAGATGAGCAAGGCAGAGACTGAGGCAGGAGATACGGGTCCTATTGTGACTGAAGTTGACATACAACATATTGTCTCCTCTTGGACTGGTATTCCTGTTGAGAAAGTCTCAACAGATGAATCTGATCGCCTCCTTAAGATGGAAGAGACTTTACACAAGCGGGTCGTTGGTCAGGATGAAGCAGTAAAAGCCATTAGTCGGGCTATCCGTCGAGCCCGGGTTGGATTGAAGAACCCTAATCGTCCAATTGCCAGCTTCATTTTTTCTGGTCCAACTGGTGTGGGGAAGTCTGAATTGGCCAAAGCATTGGCTGCATACTACTTTGGCTCTGAAGAAGCCATGATTCGGCTTGACATGAGTGAATTTATGGAAAGGCACACTGTCTCCAAACTTATTGGTTCACCTCCTGGATATGTTGGCTACACCGAAGGTGGTCAATTGACTGAGGCAGTTCGGCGTCGTCCTTACACTGTTGTACTCTTTGATGAGATTGAGAAAGCCCATCCTGATGTATTCAACATGATGCTTCAGATCCTGGAAGATGGAAGACTAACAGACAGTAAGGGCAGAACTGTGGATTTCAAGAACACACTTCTTATTATGACATCAAATGTTGGAAGCAGTGTGATTGAGAAAGGAGGTCGCAGAATAGGATTTGATCTGGACTATGATGAGAAGGATAGCAGTTACAATAGAATCAAGAGCTTGGTGACTGAGGAGCTAAAACAATACTTTAGGCCAGAATTTTTGAATAGGTTGGATGAAATGATTGTTTTCAGGCAACTCACAAAACTGGAGGTGAAGGAGATAGCTGACATAATGCTCAAGGAGGTTTTTGAGAGATTGAAGAAGAAAGATATTGAACTTCAAGTGACAGAAAGATTTAGGGACAGGGTGGTTGAGGAAGGTTATAATCCAAGTTATGGAGCTAGGCCTCTAAGAAGAGCCATAATGAGACTTTTGGAGGACAGCATGGCTGAGAAGATGCTTGCTAGAGAGATCAAAGAGGGTGACTCTGTTATAGTGGATGTTGATGGTGACGGTAATGTGATTGTGCTTAATGGTAGCAGCGGTGCCCCAGAGTCGTTACCAGGTGCTCTTCCTGTATAACGTGGTTAGCTTTGCTAATATATGCACTTATTCATTTAAACCATGGTTATAGTCTGAATCTGTATTACTTGTCAGTGGACCTAAAGCTTTTAATTGATTACTTGCAAGCCGAGTCATGTTTGTCCATGGCCTAGCAAAACAAGTGAGGGTTACCGAGGGGCATAGGGGAAAACTGAAAAGGGTATGTCGAGATAATGTAAAATAGCGCAGTTTATTATAACTTGGACAGTGCATCAATGAACTATTTCGTTGGAAGATGGGATGTTTTATTTTTCGATGGTAAGACCATGGTGATGTAACATCCCAGCATTACTGTATATTATGATTATGTAGTATTCGTTGCTTGAAGTCGCAATACATGTATTGATACTTCTAGTATAAAGCATAAATCGCAAATTCAATAAATAAACGTGTTATGAATAATATAAATGATATATTCGTACTTTATTTTTTGATGTTTTTGAATGTTAAATTAAAAAATCAAATCAAATAAAGTAATAATAAATAAAAAAACTCGTTAATACTCGATAAATATTCATTCAATGTTTCAATTAATTTAATTTTTATAATTTTTTATTTTGATATATATATATATAATATAATTCTTTTATTTTAATAATATACAAATATTAATGAAATATTAGTAATAATAGAATAAAAATTACAAATTTCATTATATATAATAAACAATAAAATGCAACAATAAAAAATAAAAATTTGAATTAAAAAATAGAAAAGGTAATGATTTTTCTTAAAAAATAAAAAATAGATAAATTAATTAAGTTTCTAACTGTGTTAAGGATATGTTTGAAAAAACAAAATCATGGGAAGATAAGTAATAAAATATTTATATATAAGAAAAAAAGTAATTCAAAGCAAAACCATACGATTTTTTTTGAATTTTTTCCAAAATAAATGCTTGCTGTGCTGAATATATTTTTAGTTTGGTTGGTATTTGTATTCACTCTTCCCTTTATAAATATGGTGGATATGATATAATAATAAGGACATATAGAACAAGAATAGGAAAAATATAAATCTCAAACGCTAATATCTTATTTTGTGTTTGATGTCCACCTTATAAGTATTTAATAAAATAATATGTTTGAGATGAGCCACATATTACCAGGTTAATATAAATAGATGAAAATACCTTTTAATTCACATAATTTTTTTATGTTATTAAAATAATTCAAAAATAAATGAACTTGTGAAACAAAATTGAAGCAAATTTTGTTCACATAAACAAGATCCCTAAACTTGGCCAATGTCTTGATTTTGATGTAGAGCGATTCAAAATAAATTTCAACGTTACATATTTGTTTGATTTCTTTCATATCATATTTTAATTATATAAAATCAGACCAATTTAATTTATCTTTCACATCAGACTTTAATTATATTAAATCAGATCAAAATATTATAAAAAATGTTAGTATAGAGTTATGAATCTGCTTTTAGAAAACCTATTTCATTCATGTGATCATTGAAAGCCATTGACAATGAAGGATAACTTCATTCCGTCAATCTATTCATAGCTTAATTTCTTTGCGCACAAGTATAGTTAAATTGTAAGAGAAAATGAAAGCAAATCAAATTATGATCCAACTGACCAATAAACAAAGGGTTTTATAAGAGTTATGTTGTAGGAAAAGTGATTATGTAATATTATAGAGATTCGTTTTGCGTGCGTTAATTTTTTATTTATTTTTTTGTTTTAAAAAATGTGGGCCCCACAAAATGTTGTGAGTGTAGGAAAGTTTGTTATGTTATGTTATGTTAAAGGATAGAACGAAAACCCGTAAACAAAATAATCTTAATAAATATAAATAACTATTTATAAATTCATTCACGTGTAGTCGACTAAACCAGTTCAGGTTGATCGACTAAATCAGTGGTTTTGGCACCCCATTCTGTTTTCCACGAATTTTTTTTTGTATGGAACCGATTGTAGTCTAATGTACAAGCGTATTATGACTTGGGGAACACAATTTCAGGTACAAAAGAGTCAATACCCCATTCGTATGCATTGTTGGGTACGTATTGATTGAAACCGTTTGTTTACGCTCCCCGAAACTAGGTGAATTCATTTAGGGGTCATAATAATAATTGTTATGAGTTTCAATCTATCAATATGGACCAATGTTACTAATTTGAATAGGCATGAAAAGTCAAATAACATAATGAGTTATACAGTAACACAACGTCACATAAAAATTCATAACAGAATTACGTGAACTCTACCATAAGACCTTAAATACATGCACATGATTGGTTCAACTTTGTCTAATCCTCATAGGACATGTACGTTTATTGTGACCAATTTGCTTGCAGATGCTACATCTACTTTCACTGCTTGAGGGTTGTGACTCAACCCAATCCATCTTATTCTGTATCCTTGAAGACTTCGGTCTCCCTTGTGCACGAACCAAAGATGTATTTGGGATAATAGTTGGACCATGTATTTGTGGAATCAACAACTCATTACCCATTGGAAACCAATGTGCAGCATAGACCTTCTCAATTTGTGTAATTGAGAACACAGGATCGACATAGTCATAGTGGTTCAATTTTTCAACCTTGCACACCGCTAGCACATGACTGCAAGGAAATCGTCTAGCTGTGAACCATCCACATTGACATTTACGATTTAGCAAGTCAACCCTCATAATGTCGCCGTCATTATGCGTAGATTGATTGTAGGCATCCTCAACTTCATTTAACTGCAAGTCTCTATCAAAAACACGGACACAGAGACTAACAGTTAACTGATCATTCTTTTGTAAGAAGTCCTCAACCTTTTTTGCAATTCTCCAGCCTTTGTCCTTTGCTTTTTGGATCTTTTCACGCCTCTTGACAAAATACTCTACAAGTCTACTTTGCGTCATCTTGACCAATGTCGTTACTGGCAAATTACGTGCACCCCGTAGGACCTTATTGATACACTCAGATAGGTTAGTCGTCATATGACCAAACCTTCGGCCCTCCTCATCATAAGACATGCACTATTTCTCTTTGGGAATCTGATCTATCCATGAGGCTACTTGTGGGTTACTGTCGACAAATTCTTGAAATCTTAAATCAAAGTGAATTTTCGAACACATGTATCCTGCAAAAAATAAACCCAAATTGAATGAGTTATACATAAACAGCATTACATACAACATGTACACATTCATGAAAATAGCTTACCTAGTTTCATCAGCGTTTTCTTAAGTTCCACGTCCCTAAACTTAGTGTTAAAGTTGCTTCCAATGTGACGAAGACAAAACACATGATACGCAAATGGAGGCTGCCAACCGGCATGATCCTTCACAGCCCTGATGATGCTGGGTTGACGATCGGATATTAGACATATACCATGCCTATGTGTGACATGGAAACGCATCAGGCTAAGAAACCACAACCAATCATCCAATCTCTCACCCGGTGGAACAATGGCAAACACAATAGGCAGAATGTATCCATCACCATCCTGTGACGTAGCAATCAAGAGGGTACCTTTGTATTTCCCGTACAGGTGCGTGCCGTCAATTTGGATTATGGGTTTACAATATTTGAAAGCCTCAATGCACTGGTGAAAAGTCCAAAATACCCTGCGAAAGACAGCCTTATCGGTGTAGACACGTCGTTCGTCACAACACTCGTCCGTATCAATCTTGAACACAGAACCAGGATTAATCTGTGTCATGTAGGTCAGCCAACCAGGTAAGATGTCATATGATTTATCCCAGTCGCCAAACAACTTCACAATGGCCTTCATTTTAGCCTTCCATGCCTTCCTATAAGATATGTTGTATCCATACAAACGCTGTACCCTCTCCTGAATAAGAACTGGTTTCAGAGATGGATCTTCTTTTAACATACCTATACAAAAATCGAAGTCAACACAGTCAATAAATATACCGTAAAAGTAACGTAAACATAAACCTTAAACCAAACATCACATAATACATACTTATAACGGCTGCACAGATTACATCAGAATCCAGCTGTCTATGGTCCCGGGTAAGGCCTTGGTTTAGGCAGGTGTGTTCTTTAGCCCACTTACTAACAACCCAAGTATTTCCATTCTTGGGCAACATAGCCCGCACGTACCAGGGACAACCATCATTATGGTGTCGACACTTCATCACAAATCTATGGTCATCACTTTTTGCCACCACAGCATTACGATGAGACTTCATACAATATAATTTGACTGCATGTTGCATTTCAAATTTAGTTCGAAACTCCTGGTACAAATATAATGGATCCCCTAAATGCCAGCCACCGTGGAAGTCATCGTCGCCATACAATATCTCCGTCTCATCATTAGGGTGAGCCCAATTAATGAAGGAATAATGTGGGCTTTCGTTCCAAAACGGCTCAATATCGGAACCTACGTCCAAATTACAGGAGTTTTCCGTCAGTACGATTGATAACACAAATATGAAATATTCATTTAAAACTTTAATTTACTATCTTACCACTGCTAACAGGGTCAACACGGAGTGGTGACATCACCTGGGAACTCAAGTTTCCTGAACTAGTGTCAGCGTCAAAATTCCCCTCTACGTCCGTATCTGAGGTGTCACCCAGCGAAATAACACTCTCGGGTTCACCATCGTCTTCACTGTCCATATCCTCCTCATGCTCATCCTCATCCTCGACTATTTCCCTCAGTGTTATCTGACTTAAGACAGGTGCATGCGCAGATAAACCGACCACTCTGTCTTCTTGACTTTGACTTCTTTCATGCATAGGTGCAGATGAAGATTGCCCACAGTCTATTTCAACATATATCTCAATAAAGTTTTGAAATTTTCGGTCCACGATTGCATTTATGACACATTCCACATCTTCATCGTCACAAATATCATTACCAATGTAGAATATAGCATCCTTACCAATTGTAGACTCTACCCTGGCGATCATCCGTTGAACGCACTGGCTGCCTTGTAGCCCCAATTTTTGGTGAATCCTCCCCTTGAGCTCATTGTACGTAGTGCCCCGTTTGATTTTCAACATTTTCGTTTTCCTTCAAATTGAACACCGTTGGGGCCTTCATAATGCTTTCCATCATAGTAAATCATGGTAACATACATGTTTGGACTTGAAGCTCCATCTTTCACACGAATTTGGGGGTAGGAATCGGATTTTAG